TGCTGACCTGCCAACTAGCGTTCATATCCAAAATGACAAAATAGGAGAAAAGTAAATCAGTCTCAAACGAGAGAAAATTCAGTCATTTTTTTCCAAAAGCAGGCGGGGGTACCCTCGCGCTCGCGCCGCCACTGACCTAGTAGCGTAACCAGGATTTTGGCAATGGTTAGGTGACGATGAGCGATGTCTGTGAGGTAGTACGGCGCCGCTCAACCATGTCAGATCTTGGCTACGTCACTAATCGTATCTTTAAAGTTAATCGAATCATTAAGGATAAATAGATATTATCATAGTGTATTTACACATTCAAAGAAATCTAATTGATGATCCTTCCTTTTTTTTCTATAGGCAAATATTGATAAGACTATAGATGAATTAACTATATTTACTCGAATGCGAAATACTGGAACATTTAAAACCTTAAATAATGAAACACGAAAAGCTCTTCATAATCGTTTGTCACCATCATTAAATGAAACTAAACGTTATACTGTAAGTTGTCTTGTATTTACTGAAAATCCAGATAATAGATATTCATTATTATGGTGTGCTTATGGTCATAAACTTAAAATGTTTAATACAACAACATGGATATGTAATCCAAATGATATATCTTTTTCTTCAGTGATTACATGTATGTATTCTGATGCATGTGATAAACTTTGGATTGGTTGTGTAAAAGGAGAAATATTTATTGTTGATACAATACAACTTATTTGTAAAACACAATTAACAACAATCGCTGGACAAGGTGGATGTCAAACAATGACATATGATACGATACAAAATCGAATGTTAATTGGTAATCGATCTGGTTTAATTACTATATGGAATACAAACAATCGACAACGTTTATTTGAAATTAATCTAGAAGATATATATCAGAAAAGTTATCATATGCAACAAAAAATATATAAAACTGAAATGTTATTAAATCTTCGTAATCAAATTGAAGAACCAAAAACCAGTAAAAATATAGTATAATTTACTTAACTTTTATTACTTTTATTTTAATTATAGATTTTTCTTCTTCAACAAGTCCGACAGATATTATTTCAACATTATCTAATGAATTGAAAACTATTCAAATATATGATAATCTTTTATTTGCTTGTTATCGTGATGATTATATACTTATTTTTCGTATAATTAATCTCGATACATTTATCTATGAAGATATTCTATCAGTTAAATATACTCCAGAGTCTTCAATGCCAATTCATTCATTTCTTGTCTATAAACATCAATTATGGATATCAACAAGTTGTATTATTTCTGTATTCAATATAAATTATGGAAATAAAAAGAATTCCTATCATTTAATTATGAAAAAACATTTAGAAGATGATCATCTTCTAACAATGTTAGGTTTTTCAAATTATATATGTGCAGGATCAGCACGTGGATATGTTTATATATTTCGAATGGATAATTATGAATTATATAAAACATTTGATGGACATAAAGATGGAGTTTGTTGTTTATGTTCAATATTAGATATGTATATTATTAGTGGATCACAAGAAGATGATACTTCAATTGTTGTATGGGATAAAGAACAAATAAAAGATGATATAGCCACTATTCGATTGTAAAATTTTATTATAAAATAATGAAAAACAAAATTTTGTGATAGTATTTTTTTTTAAATTATTTTGTTAAACTTGCTTACTAAATAAATATATTCCTCTTCATATAAGAATGTCAAGATGATTCTTGAAACAAACACGAAAGATTCTCGGAGTGGATTCAATCGCTCTTTTTCATAGTCATATAAGTTAATCATCAGCATAAAAAACTAACTTATATAACCTTGACAGGGAGATGTTAAATTTTCTTTTTTTTTAAGTTGTTTATAACCCCAAATAAAAGTCCTTCTTGCACATGGTTTCTATGCTATTATGCTTTGCATAAAATTTATGACTAAATAAAGATAAGACATAAGAGTTTTATTTTCGATAAGATATTTATCATATTGAAATGAAACTGTAATGTGATACCTTTACTCGGTAATACATTTGATGCAACGTATGGTAGTATAAAAACAAGCAGGACGAAACTTTTTTTTGTATTGTCATATTATCCGTTCCTTTTCTACTATGTGAGTGAGAAATAAGTAGAATACACTCGTTTACTAACGATATATTAGACAAAAAACAGTTGAAATTAGTATTTTTCGTTAAAATCATCGAAATATTCGGTTTTATTTTCAGAGACATAATAGAAGACCCTGGACCGTCTAATGTGTCGAGGGCTTTAGGATTGCAATAATTTTAAAGTTACTCTTATACGTCTTTTTCGTACATTATTTATTTATTTTTGTTTTTGTCTTTCTTATTTGTATTCATAATCATTCAGCTATAACGCAAAACGCTTACTCATCCTATTCTATATATATACGAAAATAACTTATTCTTTCTACATTATTTTCTTATAGACGCAACACATTACATTTCTGATTAACATAAAAAAGCACGGATGTCTACACAGCAATCATTTCCAGAATTAGTTGGTCGTAATCCTCAAGAAGCTGCTGACTATATTTCTAGCCGAGGTTTTTTTTTCCATACGTATATTGTATTTCATGATTGATGAATTTTTATTATTCTCATTGTAGGTTTATTCCCGATTATTGTCAAAGGTAATCAACCTATGACAATGGATTATAGTGCAAGTCGTGTACGTATCATCACTGATGAACAAGGAAGATCCGTTGTTGTAGCACCTACTATTGGTTAAAATGAATTGATAGATGAATTCAAAATTATTTATTAAAAACTATAAAGAAACAAAGTACTCTCCTATTAATTGTGATCTTTTCAAAATGCTTATTAATTAAATATAAAATATAATACTATTTGATCAATCATTTATTGCATGAAGTTGAAATATGTTTACTAATTATCGATTAATGAAGGTCTTAAACAGACGATCTTCCATTTTTTCAAAACTCTCTTGAGTTATTAAATAGTTGATTAAACTCTTTCTTGATTGTCTTTAAAAGTAGAAATCTTAATTCTATTTAATGTATTAGTCACAGGGTGAAAAGAGTACAAAACTATCTTATCAATCAGAATAATAAATATATTGATATTATTTCGACCTTGAAAATATCAAACTTTCTTGGTACAAAATCAATTATTTCTACTGAAAAAGATAAGTGCGAAAAAAAAATAATATCGAACGACTTTTTATTTTGTTATTTTATCATCTACCAACGCATTTGATTCATAAAATAATATTTGGTCAGTATGATAAGATGCATTTAAAGTATTTTGTATACATTCAGTCATCTGTTTTGGTCTCTCACACCTATGTAAATTAAAATATTATATTTTTTTCTTTTGTTATCAAAAAATACAATAGAAAAATTTCACTATAAAAACAAATGTGAAATCATGCTTTATTTTATCCATTAGGATTTCAATATGTTTAACCATATCTTCATTTCCTTTTCTCTCTTTTTCGGCGTTGTTTTCAACAGCCCTATTTCAAATCCCGCTCAAAATGGAGTCGACTATGAATGGCTCGGTAAGTATTAATATATGTATATAAATTAATTATTTATATTTGGATATTGTATAGGTGGTGGTGTTGAAGGTGATATGATCTTTCATGATGGATTTGATCCCAGATTCGAAGCCACTGGAAGAGGTGTTGCTCTTTGGGGACCTCGTCGATGGTCTAAAAATGAAGTACCCTATGATCTGTCTTTGATAACAAGTAAAACGATTTAATAATATTTCTATAGTTTTATTAAATATTTCATAGATGCTGGACACCGTCAAATGATTGAATCAGCAATGGCAAAATTAGTAGAAGTTACTAGTACACATATACCAGATCAAGGGATTAGTAAAGCATGTATTAAATTTCGACCAAAATTACCAAAAGAAATCAATGTTCTTAAAGTCCAATATGGAACTGGTTGTAGTGCAACAGTAAATAAGATCAATAATCTTTTTACAATAATTCGTTTTCTGTCTGAATTTTTAGGTTGGTTTTTCATTTAGCCCAAATACTATGTCACTTGCTTATCCTGGATGTTTCTCTTCTGGTACTATTCAACATGAACTTTTACATGTTCTTGGTAAGAATATGTTGCTATCGAAATAGGATATCAATAATAGTTTTACTTTCCTCTTAGGTTTCTATCATGAACAATCACGTCCTGATCGTGATTTATACATTACTGTTAATCATGGCAATATTCAAAAGGGTCATGTAAGTATTCTTTGTTTAGTTATTCATTTATAACTATACTAAATGATCTTGTAGGAACACAACTTTTCTAAATATAAATGGGGTAATACAGTATTGAATCAAAATACTACTTATGATTTCAATAGTATTATGCACTACGGTACAAATTATTTCAGTGGTAACGGTCAATCAACGATAACCCCCAATGTAGCCGGTGCAAGAATCGGTCAAAGAGATCACCTTAGTCCAATTGATATTGCTGAAGTTCGTGCATTGTACGGTTGTTCAGATTAAAAGTATTAACTTTAGTTAATAATAAAATATGAAATGTGACCAGTCAGGCACTTCGTTCCCTCTCATTCTATGTTTTTATTACGAAAAGTTTAACATGATGCCATTTTTATTTTTATCTGCATTGTACTCAATGCATAAGAAACAAGTAATATAGAGAAAAATTTTATCTAATATCAATCGGTTATACATGTAGATATTCACTCGAAGATATTGTGCCGTAATCCAAAAAAATGGAATATTCAGTTAAGATAAATAGAAAGTTATGTTGTTCTATAGAATTTAACAATACTAATCTAGATCATAAGAATTAAAACATTCACAAATTAAAAATAAAGAGACGCAGGATTACATTAAAAATAATTTTTAAATAAATATATATATATAGTTTGAATAAATGTTTTTTTTTTGTTGTTATTTGTTTATTGATACATTTGACTAGGAGAAGAAAAAAAGAACTAATTTTATATCAGACCAAAACAAATGATTGTCTATATATATAAATATTATGGTAATTTATGATGTGTTACTTTTGCATAATTTTTCTCAAGATAATCAATAAAAGCTCGTGTCATTGTTATATTTGTAGGTTGTGCTTCTGATGCATTTCTTAATTCAGTATTCTGTATAAAATAAGGTATAGAAGCAATTGTTAATATTAAATTTTCATCTTCAAGTGGTTGTCGTGGTGAAAGAAGAAACCATTTTTCTAGAGTCGCATCGTATTCTAAACCACTATAGGTTACAAACATGCCAGTATTGATATTATGTAAACCACGATTTAAAGCTTTAACTAATGTTATACCATCAACACGTACTGATGTTATATTAGTTAGAAATGGTAAACAACGTAATATATCATACTGAGTTATTGTACCCATCAATTGATCATCAAGACGAATAGCACCTGCATTAAATACACATATTGATGTATGAACTGCATCCATCATTGCCTTACATAATGCACGTGTTAAGTGTGTTTGTTGAGAACGTATTACTGCTGAACGACCATCAAAATTAAGTCCGGCTGGTAAAACACAAACTACATGTTCCGGTACATAACCTAAAAATATTCAATAGAAAATATGTTGATGTATTCTTAATTGAACTTATTAGAGATTATTTAGTGTTGTATGTAAGTAGTATCTCATATGAAAGTTTAGACGAACATAATCCTATCTAATATGCATATATATCACTTCTGCCTTTAAAAACATTTTTTATCGATATTTTCATTGTACGTCATTGATTTGCTAACTAAGGTATCAGTTCATAATATTAAATTATTTGCTACAGTCTTTGAATTATATAAAATGATTGATAGGAAAGACATTTTATTATGTATGCAATGTCATACATCTAAAAAATTGATTATACTGCAGTTCTTTCTACTATTTACTTCGAAAGAATGTTTTAATATGACAAAAAAGTTGTCGCGATGAATAAAATCCCATTAGTGAACTACTTCTTTCTTTATCTGATTTATAAAAATATTCATCATAAGTTACTATTAGAAAATATAGCTATGAAATAATCATTACCAGCAACTCTATATGCTTGTAAACCAGCTTGATAGAAATAATCTGCTATTTTAGCTGTTTCAGGTTCATCTTTAAAACGTCTTGATACTTGTGTTAATTTAGAAAAAATTAATAATTGTTTTGTTTTTGGTTGATATGCAAAACGATGAATAAATACCGAGAATGCATTATCATCTGCCTTATATATTGGAGTATGTTTTGATCCACGTTTTAAATAATAATTTTCATGTTCATGTCCACCCATAAGTACATCAATCGATGGATTATGTTCAACTATTTCAATATCATTTTGCATATTTAAATGTGTTAAACATATTATGATATCCCATTTTAAATTTAAATTCTCACGAAGATGTTTTAAAAGTTGATGTGTAAATTCTGGTAAACCTCGTTGAGGTGTTATTGTAACATAACGTTCAGCTGTTGGTGGTCCCATATTATCATCAATTGTTAAACCAATAAGAAGAATTTTTATATTTTTCATAGTTATAATTTTATATGGTAAAACATTATGAAATGATTTTGTTGTATTACGTTCATAAACATTCGATGCTATCCATTGAAATCGAGATTCATTTAAACGACGTCGTAATGATTCAACTTTTAAATCAAATTCATGATTACCTAATGTAGCATAATCAAGACCAAGGACATTTAATGTAGCAATCATCTGTTTACCATTTAACATTGATCCATTTACTATACTATTACCTATAGTATTAAAAAAATATTCATTTGTTTTTGTATAATAGTAATCATAAGAAGTTTAGTTTAATCATTTATATAACAATTATGAATAATATGTTGTTTCTTCTCATTTAAGGTCAAGGAAAGCCTCTGGTCGATTGTATATATTATTATTTAGTAATAAGGAAAGCACATCAAAATAGAAATATATCAAGATTATAACAATTAACAAGAACATTAGTGAAGCTTCAGACGCGAATAGTATTTTATAAACAACTGCGGAATATCGCTCTTTAACAACTAAAATATACATTATTATTTTTCGAAATACATGTATTCATTGCTACAGTTAAATTCTAACTTTTGTCAAAACGATCACTGTTTTTGCCCTCGGTCATATATAGAATATCTTAATACAATTAATAATCATTTCCATATTTCTTCTATTCATTGTATCATTTCTATCAAAAGAGTAAAGCTAAACATGAGATATCTATCATATCTATATTTGTATGTATCATAACATGTGTCGTTTACATATTGTTTTCATCATCAATATGATATCTAGGTCATAGATAGAAATTTGCAATACTAAAAAAAATATTTCATACCTAAAGCTGAGGGACTAACAATATCACCGGATAAAATTGTAATTGTATTTGGATTTTCTTTTAAAAGTAATTGTCGAATTGTTGCTACACGTGCTAAACCACCTTTCGTGCCACCACCTAATGGTATTAATTCATAAACATCATTCATTTGAAGTACTGTCCATTGTACATAAGACTGCGGATTATTAAGCTTAGGTGGTGAACCAATATCATCCAAAAATGATGCTAATAATCGTTTATTTTCATTAAAAATTCTTGTAACGTTATTAATTTTAGTCAAATTTCGATATCCAACTGGATCTATCGTACGAAACCATCCAGTTAAAGCAAGAACAATACAAATAATACTTAAAAATATTATGAAAACCAATTGCCAAATCTTTATTTGAATTTTCTTATGACAATCCATAATTAATATAATAATAATGTTATTTATATTTGAAATTTTTTATGACATAGATATTAACAAAACCGCACGAATGTTACATTTACTTTTCAACTTGTATGCTTCGTTCTTATCTTAGTCTTGATAAGCGATTCATATTGCTCGTAATAGTATAGACGTAAATGAGAATATGTTTGATACAATAACTTGATGAATATACTAACGTGACTTGTGTAGATCAATAACGAATAACAAATCTTTTGTAACTGTATGTTTTCAATTTTTCTAAATAAAATTATCATACTAATCAAGTGTATTTAAGCTATCAAATTTATTTAAATATTTTTTGTGTTTTGTAATTATGCAAAATAAGAAATTCATTTTTATATGCATGATGCTTTCAATCAAATACTTACTTATACAATGTGATCGATGATATTTGAATAAAAAGTATTTTTTTTTCTGCAATATATATAAGTTTATTCTTTTCACAGTAAACACAAAAGGAGCCAACTGAGTTAATGCTTACAGTGTTAAATGATTTTTAAGTTATAGACGAATGTATTGAATATATTTATAGACTAAAGACTTATTGTAAATAACGAGACGGACGATGATAGAAAGAAAACAGAATAAGATATGATAATAACAAACAGGAAGAAATTGATATATTCAACATTTACCAGTTGTGCAAGAACGGTATTATTAGTTGTTTATGACTTTGTAGTTATTATTAAGAATTGTTGCGTTAAGTAAAGTTATTGATGAATGAAAAGAACCAGATCATTTATAATAGATAGAAAAAATATGGATAATTACAATTTATAATGTGTGAGATGAAAAATCATTTATCTTTGTCAATATAATTAACGTTTTGGTATTTTTGCGTATTTCATCAAATAATTAACACTACGATATTCTTCGTCATTCAATGTGCTATTTATAAAGAATAATATCTTTTATTTGATCTCTTAATTAATTTTTATATTAATAACATGTAATTCCTCCTTTTAGTTTCAAAAAATTCAAAGAATAAATATTCCTGTTTTGACGAAAATCTTGAATTGATTTTAGATATTAACACATACTATTTTTTTTGTGTTATTTAGTAATAATGATTTATTTTATGTGTGATGAAGTATCTCATCGGGCTATGGAATAATATTATTTTTTTCTTTCTAGATAAATAATTAATATTAGATTAAATAAAAAAAGAGCATCTCTTAATGTCTAAAATCAATTCAACCTTCTTATCTAGATAAGATAATAATTGTAGTAATTTGTTTCAATTACAGACCTATTGACTAGAATTAGAAATCATCGAATTCTTTTAATGGCATCGAAGAGAAACTAGGACTATCGCAATCTTAAACATAAACAATTGAGTTCCATCAAAAAAGACATATTTTCGCTATTACATATGAATATATAATTATTGGAATATTCCAATAAATTCTTTTTTCCTGAAAAAAACTATATTTGGTATTAAATAGGATACATAATAATGTCTATACTTTTTAACAAAGGAAGGATTTTTAGATCATTTCATATCTTTTCTAAAACGTCTTGAGAAGGAAATAAAATTATTACTAAAATAGTATCGAATGGTAGTCGGCGATACTATGATCTTTAGGATGTTCTAAGATGAACTTGTGAAAATTCTTCTGAATACAGTGACGAGATTTTAACAATATTCAACATTAATCAGAAAAAGTCGTGTGTGTATAGGATTAACATGAGACCCCTGATTAGTTAATTAAATAAATATCGAATCTTCATAGACTTTTATAAAGTTTCATACACAAATAAAACTTGAGTATTTACAATCAAAGTTTATAATGGAATTAATGAAAATACAGATAATCTTGATTGAAGATCTAAAAGTCAGAAAAAAACAGTTTTCTATTAGCAACGATGTTAATATATCGTTTCTATATTAGTTGCTTTAGAATAAAACTGTATTAAAAAGAATTTCCACAGGTTCATCGTAGAACATCCTTCAAGGGCTATATTGTTCTTCAAAATTCTGTATTTTGTTTGTCTAAATGAATAAATTCTACAATGATAATAATGAGCGTTAATAGACACAATATCGATGAGTAGCGAATTTTAATTCATTTTGTTCAATTTTTGACGTTTCGAACCTTTAAAGATCCATTTTCAAGACATGACCTCATTATTATCATTGTATTATTATTTCTTGTAGTGTATTTGAGCATCAAAATTAAGAAAATGATTGTGGAAAGCAAGGTTATGTCTTGAAAATGAATCTCTAAAGGTTCGAAACGTCAAAAATTGAAGAAAATTAATTAAAGTTCGCTACTCATCGATATTGCGAATAAATTATCCGGGATCCTTTATCTATATGAATCAATGTTTGGAATTCACATTTTTTTAAATAGAATATGAAGTATAAATTTCACGTATGATTATAATAGAATAAAAAGAAAGTACTATTGTCAGTTCTATTATTGAATAGAAATAAACATCTCTTTAAGCTTTTATTCTCCTAGTTCAATAATCAATTGACCTTCATTAAGCTTATACAACATTCGGATATGAATAAAAGGAAATTACTTGACATATAAAAGAGATCGTACTAAATTTTTATAAGTAAGTCATCATATTCTCCCTATTAAATTATAGAAAGGAGACAACTATTATTCCTAAAAAGCGTGTAATCTAAAACTTATCAGTAAAAGCAAGTAAATTATCGAAATTTTATAATATATCAATAATTTAAATATTTATAATGTTAAGAATAATAAATAGAAAGCAAAAAAAGTCAAGGATTTATACGAATGACGACAGCAGAATAATAATGTGAACGTGGAAAATCTTAGATAAGAACAGAAAAACTTCTTTTTTTTCTTCTTTGGATATCTACGTAACATTATCTTACTTGTTAAAATCATACGATATTTTGAAAATGGAGTTACCTCTAAGTATTGAAGAACTTATTCATGAACTTGATGAACCTAATTTAAATGGTTGGAAATTATTTGCTCAAACTTCTGACGTTAAAGTTTATCGAAAAATTGATGATGAGAGCGTAAATTAAATAAATTTATCATAACATTTTTGTTTATTTTTTCTTTTTGTAGAAAGGAATACAGTATAAATGTTATTCACATATTCCTGATGTAACACCTGATATTTTTTATAAAGTAGCACTTGATGTTGATTATCGATTAGTTTGGGATAAATATCTTAAAGGTAAATATTCATTACTTATTGTTTATGTAAACACTTCTTTTTTTTCTAGAAGGAAAAATAATAAATGATGGAGAAAAAGAAGGTGTCTATTGGGAAATGATAATGCCATTATTTATTGATAATCGAGATGTATCCTTTTATTTTTGTTTCCTAATTTATTTAAAACTTTTCTTTTAAATATTAAATAGTATACATTCACACAAAAACATGATGAATATGATATTGGTAATCGTCATTTTTATTATGTAAGGACACATTGTGAACCGTTTACAAATGTTCCACCAAGAAAAAAGGTTGTTCGTATTGAAAATTGTCAATCACAAACATTACTTTGTTCAGATGGTGCAAAAGGGCTTCGATGTATGTAAAGATTTTCTTTAAAGTAATTTAAGATTATTTTTTTTTTGTATAGCTATTTTTATATATTATGAAGATCCACGTGGTAGTATTCCAAAAGCTTTGTGGACTTGGGCTGCTAAAGTTTGTCGAAATTTTTTTATTAAAAAATTAAAATTTTTATTCTTTAATTTTAGTTCGGTGTTCCAATATATGCAAAATTAACACATAATGCATGTCTATCTTATCCAAATTGGATAAAAGATAAACAAACAAAGTTACCTGATGTAACTGAAAATGATATTGATAGTGCAGCAATTCTAACAACAAATGATAATGATAATACACAAGAAAAATAACTAACAGATATACATTTATATCGAATATAATTTTATTATTTATTCAAAGATTTTTTTTATTTTTAAACGTAATTCAGACAACATAGCATCTGTATTATCGATAAATAAATCGATACTACCTATTTTTGGTAATTGTCGAATATGATTATCTTCTATTTGTGTAAAAATAATATCAGCAATCATTCCTCCATTAATTACTTGAAATGGTCTATCATGAAATTGTGTTATTTCAATAGGAATAGTTATTTTTGATGATTCTATTGTAGGAAATAATTTTTCCTTAGTAATCACTGCCAATTGTTGATAAGCTATACTAAGATGACTTTCACGTTCTTTCCAATTAGTTGCCAATTGAATTTGTCGAAGTATGGGTTCAAAATGCGAACCATACGTAGTACATTGCCGAAATGCTGAACCAAACCATTTTGCATAAGGATAAAATTGTTTTTCTAAAAGAAAAATAAGTCGCATTATATCACGTATAAGTCGATTTGCAATTAATGATGAACCAAGTTCATCATTGACTTGTCCAGCTCGACCCATTAAATGTTCTTCTTGCCCAATACGTTGCCAACAACAACCGATTACATATAACCAAATATCTTTTGGATAATAAGCCAGTTGTGATCGTATATGATTAATTTTGATATTGTTCGATTCATGAAAAACTCGACCTTGAGCAATAGTTAATAGATGTTGACTTGGAAATGTTAACCAATCTTGATATGTTGGTTCACCATTATCAATTATCCAATTTAGGTAATCAATAAAAAATTGTCTCATTGTCATTATACGAAGGCCATGACATGTATTATCTTGATTATTTGAAACATTTATAAGAGTTATTTGTTTATCTTGTTCAGTAAATGCTTGAAATTGTGTAGAATAACCACATATCGTTTTATTACGAAGATTTTTCATAAAAAATAGATTTAATTCATCAATACGTTGTTCATTTTCAAGAAATATATCTAATTTTGGTCCCCAATCATGATCTCTCGATTGAATTGTATCAAAATTAAGTACATCAGAACCAGGTCCTAAACGACAAGCTACATATTCAAGTGAAGGATAATGTTCATCAAGTAATGGTTTAACAATATCAAAAAAGAA